ACTTGATATTTATAAAATACTTTTGGTTGGAATAGAAATGTTGGAAGAGAAGCACATGCAAGGAAAACTCATTCTGGATTTGTTGTTTACTAAGTCTTGTGTGACCTTGGAGAAGTCTCTGGTCTTCTGTGAGATACAGCCTCGCAGTGACGTGGGGTCTCACATGGCACCATGGTCATCACAATTACATTTGCTCCATCTTGACTCCTTAGGGAGGGCTGACTTTGACCAAATGCGAAATTTTAAAGATATTCAATTTGTGAGTAATTTTTATTTTATTACTAGGGGCCCAGTGCACAAATTCGTGCACCTTGAAAGGAACTGTGGGCTGCGAGGCTGCAGTGGGCACAGGGATGGGTCTTGGCCCATCCTCCACACCCCCGCCCAGCCCCTCCCGCCGCAGCCCCTCTGGTTCTCTGTAAGCCAGCAGCCCTGCTCCCGCTGCCACTGCTCCCACTCACTGATGGCATGGAGCCATTGGGGCCAGCACCAGCAGCTGGTGTGAGTGGGGCCAGTGCCTCAGCGGGTGCGAGGGTGGCTGCTGCCCTGATCGCCCCTCAGGAGCATTGGGAGGTGGAGGAGCCTTCAGGGGCAATTGTGGCCAGCGCCAGGCGCTAGCAGCGGGTGCAAGCGGCAGCTCCTGCGCCAGCAGCAGGTGCACATGCTGGGTGGGACCATGGCACGCGGGAGCAAAGAATTTTCAGTAAGCACCAGAGACTCGCCCTTATGACAGCATCTGGCACTCTGCCTTGGCCTGGCGCCCCTGCTCACCTGCTCCACCATCCTGCCGTGGCCAATGCCTGCCATGTTCCGCGTGCTCTCCCTGGTGGTCAGCGCATGTCATAGCGGCCATTGTTCGGTTCCGCCATTTGGTCTATTTGCCTTTTATTGTATAGGATTATTATTTTAAATCCTCACCTGAGGGTATTTTCCCACTGATTTTTAGAGAGAGTGGAAGAAAGAGGGAAAGATGGAGAGAAATACTGATGTGAGAGAAGCACATTGATTGGTTGCCTCCTGCATGTGCCCCAACCAGGGCCCGGGCTGGGGAGAAGACTGCAACCAAAGTACATGCCCTTGACCGGAATCGAATCTGGGACCCTTCGGCCGACCCTCTATCCACTGAGCCAGCCGGCTAGGGTGTGAGTCATTTTTAACATCTTAAAATTAAATGGAGTCATTGGAGACTTTCAAGTGGACACATTTTCTGGAGTTTGCTCCATGTTGCAGTTATCACTCAGATGTTAGCTTTGCCAGTTAAGATCTAGAGAAGACTGTCTTGTGGTATTTTCATGTTCTAAAGCAGGGGTTCGCAAACTTTTTCGGTAGAGAGCCAGATAGAGAATATTTTAGGCTCTGTGGGCCAAAGGATCTCTGTTGTGATGACTCATTCCTGCTCTTGTGGTGTGAAAGCAGCATAGACAATACACTTAATTTTAAAGAATTCCAGCCATGTGTTGGTGATCTAAAGTAGGAACTTTTCTCTTGGGATATTGGATTAGAGACCTCAGAAAATTGTAGTGGAGGTGCTGAATTTTCCTCATGAATATGACATTTGAATAGCCCTTAATAACTCATTAAATAGATTAGTAGTGAATAGATTTTGCTTATGTGTAAAAATTGTCAGGAAAACTTGAAAGGATTGCCATTTTGGCTCATGTTGTGGCCTATGAGGAGAGTGAGGATCATAATGAGAACTGGGCGCTATTCCCTCGAGGTGCTGGCGGTGGTGTCTGCCTGGATGCCAGCCCTGCCTGCACTTTGAAAATGCCATGGGAGCACAAGGGGAGCGATTGCTGTGTGTTTGCCTGCTGCAGCTCCAGGCCTTTGGGAATCACTCACTTTCCACGTTTACACTGAGCACTCACTGTGTCCCCAGTTGGTGCCAGCCCATATGGCTGTAAAGACGAACAAGCCATGGGGCTGGCTTTTGATAAACAAAGTTTAGGGGAAACAGTTGTTTCAACAGAAAACTGGAAAGCATGTTTCCTGGCACGTGTATATGCATGCCCTGACGTTTATTGTCCATCCCATTTTAATGGATTCAGTCACAATTACTGATTTTCCTTTTGCTGAGGGCAGCATTATGTCATGGCATGGCACTGTGACTGTCCTATCTTTATCTAAAATGTTGATATATTGCTAATTGTGGAGTTCGTTGCAGTAGATTTGATTTTTTAAAATTTTGCATTGTAGCACTAGCGGTTTGGCTCAGTGGATAGAGTGTTGGCCTACGGACTGAAGGATCCCAGGTTCGATTCCCGGTCAAGGGCATTTACCTCGGTTGCATGCAGGAGACAGCCAATCAATGTGTCTCTCTCAAATTGATGTTTCTCTTTCTGTGTTCTCCCCCTCCTTTTTCTCTCTGTAAATATCAGTGGAAAAATATCCTCGAATGAGGGTTAAAAGAATTTTTTTTTGCATTGCAGTATTATTTGCAAATCTTGATTACTGAGCATTTTGGCGCTCCTTAAATTTGCGCCCCAAACAAGTGCCTTACTCTGCTCACCTCATGTGGCCTTGCTAGTTAAATATTCGATTGTACATTGGACATTGCAGAAGATACATTGTGGACTCTGGACTCTGGTGTCTTTTCCTGAAAAGAATTGATGTTTGTCCTTGCAGGTAGTTAGCTTTACCTGACTCCTCAACTCTGGCTCTCCTGAGGTGGTCACCAACCAAACCCCACACCTCGTTGTGGGGTGCCAGCTGTCCTCTCCCCTGGCGCCTGGTGTTAGTCTCCTACTGGTGCAGTTCGAAGTTGGCCATGACCTGGGCCGATTTTGTGTTTTGTGCTTCCCTTGTTGGGGGTTGGCCTTGCGGGGCTTCCTCCTTCCTAGCTTCGCTATTTGCTGCCATTTCTTTAGCTCTATTTTCTGTGTAGTATTTCTCTTTTCCCATGTGTCAGTTGCTCTTGAGTTTTACAGTTTGATTATTATAGTTTGCATTTTTGTAAGTTCTACTGGATTCTTTTTTGAAGTGCCTGGTCATTTCTTTTTTTTTTTTTTTCTCACCCAATTCTGACTTTATTTACAACTGGTCATTTCTAATACTCAGTAGATCTTTGATCATGTTTTTAATTTTTTAAAAAAATATATTTTATTGATTTTTTTTTTTTACAGAGAGGAAGGGAGAGCAATAGTTAGAAACATCGATGAGCGAGAAACATCGATCAGCCACCTCCTGCACACCCACCACTGGGGATGTGCCCGCAGCCAAGATACATGCCCTTGACCGGAATCGAACCTCGGACCCTTCAGTCCGCAGGCCGATGCTCTATCCACTGAGCCAAACCGGTTAGGGCTTTAATTTTTTTAAAAAATTATTTATACCTATTAAACATAATCGTTTTTCCTATACTGCAATTGATACCTCTAGTATATATGACCTTTTACTAGAATTAAAAATAAAATTCTGGCTCTCATTGGTTCTTTGTGCTGTTACTTATAATATCATTTTTCATTATTTTATTTTTATTTTTTAAAAATGTTTTTATTGATTTTTAGAGAAAGAGGAAGGGAGAGGAGAGAGAGAAACATTGATGTGAGAGAGAAACATCCATCAGCTGCCTCCTGCATGTTCCCTACTGGGGATGGAGGCCTCAAAACGGGCACATGTCCTGACCCGGAATCTAACCAGCACCCTTTTGTTGTTGTTGCATGGGATGATGCTCAACCAACTGAGCCAAACTGGCCAGGGGATGTTTTTATTTTTATTCCGAACTCACATTTGTTAGTATTGTTTTTTTGGGAATTATTTGAAGACCAGGTTGAGGGCCCTTTAAGAGAATGCTTGTTTACTTTGGCCAGGCAGTAGAGGAGCTCCTATCCCTGGTCTCTTTGTGTTAAAGTTATTGGCTGTGGATTTTCAGACCGTACAAAAGTATGGCCATAGGTCACGCTTGAAAGTTAACTTTCTCCTGGCTTTCTGCAGGGGCCTGTGATCTGAATCTGTCTTGTGTTGGTCTGAAGCTGCCTGTCTGCATGAAGCCACTAATACTTAAGCCCTGCAATTCTGAAATCTATCATCTTTAGCACTTACCTCCCTGAATTTGTGTTTTCACTTACGTAGTTCCTGATCAGAGAGGTTTTCCCTCTTCATTTCTTGAAATCTCATCCATTCTTTTAAGGGTTTGTGAAACATTTGTGTAGCCTTTTTTATGGATTTGCAGTGTGAAGTTTTGGGGCTGTCTGTATTTTGCAGTAGTGTCAGAAACCAGTCCTGTAGTTTTCCAATTTGCATTAGACTCTATATTACCAGTTGAGGTCAGTTCCCAAGACCGCTTATAAAATCCTATTTAACTCCGCATACTGCTTGGTTGGTTGTTTGGAATGGTTGGGGTTATGGTGTTTTTCATCCCTCAGGCTGTGGATTAAACAGGTGTGTATGGCCTGACCTAGCTGCCCAGACGTCATGGATAGCGTTTACTGAATGGAAAGATAGGACTAAATTTTAAACAGTTAAATTGAACTTTCAGAGTACAGTGTATTTATGAATTGAGGGATATTTATTATATATATTATATATGTAACAGATATTATATATTATATATATATTTTAAAAATATTTATTGTTGAGAGTATTACAGATGTGCTCCCCCTCGGCCCCCCATTACCTCCTTCCACCCGGTTCCCGCCCCTCCCCAGGCCTCGCCACCCTACTGTCTGTGTCCACAGGTAAGATCTTTGGTTAATCTGAAGGTTACCTGTATGTAAATGCAGTATTGGTAACGAGATCCTCTCTGCATTTGTGTCTCTTGATTCTGTGAGCCTGTAAGAGCTGATGTTATGGTGCTATTGCTAAAATTTCCCATTTTCCTGTAGCCTCATAGAGACAAATACTATCTCACATACCTTCTCCTTACTCTTGCTATCACCCAGATTTTAGAATTGGACATCTGATGTGTAAGTATGCTCAGGTCCTCTTAACCAGCAGCTGAATTTATGGTGAAGTGCAGTGTGGAGGGGCCAGTACTTCACCACCTTCTGTTTGCATTTCAGGCTAATGCTGATGTCCCTGTACAACGTGAGCATCAATTTGAAAGGCTTGAAGTACATCAGTGAGAGCCCAGGGTTCATTCCTTTGCTGTGGTGGCTTCTGAGTGGTAAGGAGGGGGTGACCTGGATGTCTTCCCATACAGCTTACATACTTTTCCTCTGTAGCTGAGAGAGGTTGTCACATATTAGAAATTAGGATCGACTGTCCCAAGGTGTTATCATTTCTTGAAAAGAAGATTTCAAATGATGGAAAACTCAGTGGTGTGCCAGGCTATTTTTAGTTCTGTTTCTGAAGTATTGCTTTCAATTTAGTTATGATTCTGTGACACAAAGAAAAATTATGAAGCAGTTGGTAGATGTCATTGACCTGTTCCTTCCTCTGAGAACAGTCCAGCACTGTAGGTGTCTGTGGCTCTGAATATGAAGTAAAGGAGAAGTCCTAGTGTTAAAGGAATGTGGGGAAGAGGAAATCTGAGAGATACTACAACTCTGAAGGTGTTATACACACACACACACACACACACACACACACACTGAGTGGCCAGATTATTATGACCACCTGAAGTTTGTAGGCAAATTAGCTATAATTTCTTGCTGAAGTTGCTAGAGGGCCAGACCATTATAAATAAGGAATCAGGTTGTTTACCATGACAATAGAAGTGATTTTTTTTCTGAAGATATGGGTAAACAATGTGATTTAACAGCCTTTGAACGTGGGATACACACACACACACACTGAGTGGCCAGATTATTATGACCACCCCATCAATACTTCGTTGGGCCACCTTTTGCCTTCAATACTGTGGCGATTCTTGGCATTGACTCCACGAGATGTTGAAAGGTGATGTGAGGAATTGACACCATGCCTGATGAATAGCACTGTCCAGTTCTGTGAGATTTGATGGTTGTGGAACCAGCTGCCTGATGGCTCTTTTAACTTCGTCCCACAAATGCTCAATTGGATTGAGATCTGGTGATTGTGGGGGCCACCTAAGCAAGGTAAAGTCTCTCTCATGTTCTTGAAACCACTCCTGCACAATACTAGCACCGTGGCATGGCGCATTGTCTTGTTGGAAGAAGCCATCTCCATTGGGATACACAATCAACATGATAGGATGAACTTGATCAGCAAAGATACTTAGATATGTTGTGCTATTCAGACGTTGTTCCACACAAATTAAAGGGCCCAAATCATGCCAGGAAAAATGCCCCAAACCATAACACTGCCCCCACCAGCTTGAAGGGTTGTACTCATGCATGTGGGGTGCATGCTTTCATGCTGTTTCTGCCAAATTCTCACTCTGCCATCTGCATGGTGCAACTGGAAACGTGATTCATCGGACCGCATGACTTTTTTCCAGTGCTCGACTGTCCAATCCTTGTGTTCCTGCGCGAATTGGAGATGTTTTATCTTTGTAATTGCAGACAGAAAAGGTGTTTGAACAGGCCTTCGGCTTTCATATCCCATACGATTGCAGTGTACGGCTAATTTGCCTACAAACATCAGGTGGTCATAATAATCTGGCCACTCATGTTCAAATATATCCGACGTTCAAAGGCTGTTAAATCACGTTGTTTACCATATCTTCAGAAAAAAATCACTTCTATTGTCATGGTAAACAACCCGCTTCCCTATTTATAATGGTCTGGCCCTCTAGCAACTTCAGCACGAAATTATAGCTAATTTGCCTACAAGTGTCAGGTGGTCATAATAATCTGGCCACTCAGTGTATATACTATCTATAATAATAAAAGCATAATATGCTAATTAGACTGGATAGCCAAACGACCTTCTGGACGACCTTCTGGACAAAGTTGGGGCTGCGAGGGCCGAGCCCCGTTGCACGAATTTCGTGCATCGGGCCTCTAATAATATATATAATTATATATAATGTATATGTGTTCTTTTTGTTTTCTTTAAAATAAAAGCTATTCCTGCTGCCTCTCTATTCCTCTTCTCCTTTACCACTAATTAACCTAATTTTTTGTACCAATCTGTTCATCATAATTTTTAGCACTATGTATTTAGTAGGTACATATTTCACTCAAGTGTGCAAATTAATTGGCTCGTTTTTTTTCTAATTAGATAAAATTTTTTAAAATGAGATTTATTCTCTTTTTAAAAAAAAATAATTTTAGCCTGGCCAATGTGGCTCAGTAGTTGAGCATCGACATATGAACCAGGAGGTAATGGTTTGATTCCCAGTCAGGGCATATGTCTGGGTTGCGGGCTTGATCCCCAGTGTGGGATGTGCAGGACATAGCCGATCAATGATTCTGTCTCATCATTGATGTTTCTACCTCTCTCTCCCTCTCCCTTTCTCTCTGAAATCAATAAAAACGTATTTAAAAATATATATATATGTGTGTATACACACACACACATATCCCCCACTCTGTTTCAGCTAGCTTGCAGCCAGTAATCCTCAGCACCTTTTGCACATTGTTTACTTTCTCATAAAAGGAGGACCTTAGCCAAAAAACATATATTCATAACCCATAGACACAGACAACAGTGCGGTAATGGCTAGAGGGAAGTGGGGGCTGGGGCTGGGGCTGGGGCTGGAGCTGGGGCTGGGGCTGGGGCTGGGACTGGGACTGGGACTGGGACTGAGGCTGGGTGGAGGTGGGCAAACTGAGGGAAATAGAAACATGTAATAGTGTCAACAATAAAAAATAAAGTAAAAAAAATAAAATAAAAAACAAAGCTTTAGGCTAAATGTTCTCTAGGGCTCCTTCTAGTTCTTGTACTCTAGAAATTTTCCTGGGCTAAGTGAAAATTCTTAGGCGTTTCCGTGTAATATGTGCAGCTTCCTAAGGAGCAAGCTCACAAGAGTGTTGCTCACACGGAATCTGGTGCTCTTTGACCAGCTGGATTGTTTCTGCTTAAACCTTGGTCATGTGCAGTAGGGGGTGGCACTGCTATTGCAACTGGGGCATCAGGCTTTCTTGTCCATGAAGACAGTTAGTGTGTGTGTGTGTGTGTGTGTGTGTGTGTGTGTGTGTGTGTGTGTTTTACATAATGGGCACAGCTCAAACCCTCATAAATCTTTTTCAATATATCTTACTTGATATCTTTAGAGTTATTTATTATCACAGTCAAACAAAACAAGGTCTATCAAGCCCAGGATGTTTGACCCCTTAATTGTGTATGGAATTAACTTAATTTGAAATTTGTTATAGAATTTGGTGTATGTTTTAGGAAGATGAATATGTATTTTACTGTAGAAGAGAAAAATAGGAATACGACTAGTTCCCTGAAAAATATGTGCTGCTTGGTGCTGGTGGTGTGATTTCTTCAGATTCTAGATTCTAATAATTGTTTAGGACTAGGAGAGAATTTGAAAACTGATTTATTCTAGACAAATAAGATTCTCTTCTAATTTAAAAAGATCTAGGAAAAACTATTTTATTCTCTCAGTAATCAGCTTCTACTTTTATCAGTTTTCCTATTTGGAAGTTTGATGTATTTTAAAGAGCTTGGACTTTGGATTTATTAGACCCAGACTGAAACTGCAGCTCTTCTACTGGGAACTTACCTAACCACTTGGGGTCCCCTCTTTTCTGATCTGTAAGTAAGTGGGGATTTCTACCTCAAGGGTCTTCATGTTGATTAAAGTGCAATAGTGCCAGGGCCAGCACCTCATATAGTAGGTGTTAAATAGGTCTTAGTTTCCCTTTTTATTTCCAATCTGAGTCTTTTATGCCAAAAGAAAAGCTCATTTCCTTTTATTTTATTTAAAGGTGGCAAGTTGCTTTCAATGAAGCATCCGGACTTCTTTGCTATTAATAATTTTTTACTAAATGGTCTCATTTCTTTTTACTTTTACTGGATATCATTTTCCTTCTCTTTATTCAACTAGGTGGCTGGCTCTTTTCCAGGCGTTCTCCAAATTCTTCACATTCCTTTTAAGCCACAGGTCTGGCAAAGAATTCTAGCAAATAACTGATGAAGACAGAGTGTATTGGGCTGACGACCACATGTTGTGTAACTGTTAATGCAAACCAGTGTTATGATGACTCTTGTAACAGTAGTGATGCATTTCCTACCCACATTTACAGTGTTGACTAGGCATAGAGGCATTTGCATCCCATCTTACATTTATTTGGCTTGTCTTGGTAATATGAAACACTGATCAGTTCTGCCAAATTTACATCTCTCCTGAGCTCCAGACTAATATTCAACTATCTACTTGACTCTCCACATGGGGGTCTAATAGGCCTTCAAACTCAATGTGTTTAGACTAAATTCCTAATCTTCCCCCATACTAAACTACCTATGGCTTTCCCACCCTCAGTTGATAGTAACTCTATTTTTTCTAATTTTTCAGGCCTTTAAAAACCTTGGAGTAATTCTTAACTCCTTTTTCTCTCACTCACGTCTAATCTGTTGGGAAATCCTGACAGTTCTATTGTAAGCTATATCCAGAATCTGACCACTATTGACCATTGCTGCTGGCCAATACTGCAATGAGTATATCTCAAGTAAAAATAACTTTCTTTTAGTTATGGTGTCTCATTAATGGTGAGATTTAATGCTTGAATAATAACTTTTAGTTTACTTTGTAAATAGTAGTGGAAGAGATTTTTAAATTTCTCCTTTTTAAGCTTAAATTTACTTCTAAACAGCATTCCTTTTGGCTAGTGCTTATTTGCATATATAAGCAAATTTTACTTTGGACTTTATTAGAACTAGTCGCTCATAACATATTGGCTTCTCATATAAATGAGTTTACATGAGACCTTGATTATATTGTGAAAAACTAGCTTATTAAGTAATTAAAGTATGCACCTTTATTGAAAAAGCAAAGTAAGCAAATTTATACATTTGATCCATTGAAGTACAGATGCTCCCCTCCCCGCCGCATTCCCTCCTCCCCCCCAGCCAATCTGAAGAGCAGGCTTGGTGGGGGTCTGAGGCATTATGTATGCTCCTGTCTTAAAATTCGGCTGCTGCCTGCCAAGCTTAGAGGCTGAAACCTCAGGCTTTCTTGCTCAGAGTAAAACGGCCCTCCTTTCTCTCTCTCTCTTTTCTTTCCCCCTCTCCCCCTCCCTTTCTGTATTAACCATTTGCTCTGTCCTTGGCGAGGGGTGAGGAGGGGGGAGA